CTCCTCCCTGTGTCCCCCACCTCTGTCCCCCATCCTTGTGTCACCCATCCCTGTGTCCTCCATCCCTGTCCCCCATCCCTGTCCCCCCATCCCGTCGCATCCCCCATCCCACCGGCTCTCACCAGGTAGTAGATGGAGAGGACCCCCCGGGCCGGCTCGAGGAGCCCGTCGCGGAGCAGGACGCGCAGGGTGATGCCGCGGCGGGTGAGCACGGCCCCCCGGGTGCCCCCCGCCGCCTTCGCCCCGCTCCCCCCCTCCGCCTCGGCCTCCGCCTCCTCCAGCCCCGGCTCCAGCTCGTCCTCGTCCTCCTCCAGGCACTCGTCCCCTCCGGGGGAGGCGGCCGCCAGCGCTGCGGGATGGGGACACACCGTGTGGGGGACACCTCCCTGGGGGGCAGAACCCAGGGGTGTCCCCCCCCAAGTGGCACCCTTGGGTCCCCCCACCTCATGTGTGGGTGGGAACACTGGGACATGGGGATGGGAAGATGGGGACACAAGCATGAGGGGACACAAGGACACAAGGGGATGGACACGGGGACAGGAGGACCCAGGGACAGGGGGATGGGGACACTGATGGGGGGGCAGGGGAGGACACAGGGATATGAAGACAAAGGGACATGACAACAGAGGACTAGGGGACATGGGGACACAGCTGGGGGACACGGGGCCATGGGGCACGGCTGGCGGACACGGGGACACAGCTGGGGGACGGGGGGATGAAGGTTCTCCTGGCCCAGCAGGGCCCCACAGCCTGGTCTGAACCCGGGGGGGGACACACGAGGAGGAGGGCAGGGCCCCCGGGGGAGCACAGCCCTGGCCCCTGCTCTGCTCCTGCCCCACGGGTGTCCCCACGGGTGTCCCAGTCCCTGCCCCACAGATGTCCCTGGGTGTCTCTACACCTGACCCACGGGTATCTCGGGGTGATCCCGTGGGTGTCTTGGGGTGTCCCTGTCCCTGACCCAGGGGTGTCCCTACCCCTGCCCTATGGGTGTCCCTGTCCCTGTCCCTGCCCCACGGGTGTCCCAGGGTGTCCCAACCCCTGCCCCACGGGTGTCCCAGGGTGTCCCCACCCCTGTCCTATGGGTGTTCCCATCCCTGACCCACGGGTATCTCGGGGTGTCCCCATCCCTGCTCCCGTGGGTGTCTTGGGGTGTCCCTGTCCCTGACCCAGGGGTATCCCTACCCCTGCCCCACGGGTGTCCCTGTCCCTGCCCCATGGGTGTCCCAGGGTGTCCCCCCCCCGTCCTATGGGTGTCCCCGTCCCTGACCCACGGGTATCTCGGGGTGTCTTGGGGTGTCCCCGTCCCTGATCCATCCCGTGGGTGTCTTGGGGTGTCCCTACCCCATCCCCACGGGTGTCCCCGGCTGTCCCTCCCCCTGCCCCACGGGTGTCCCCGGGTGTCCCTACCCCTGCCCCACGGGTGTCCCCGTCCCCGACCCACGGCTGCCTCGGGGTGTCCCCCACCTCCTAGGAGTTCCCGGGGTGTCCCGGGCTGTGTGTCCCCCCCCGCTCCGTGGGCGCCCCGCGGTGCGCACCGTGGGGGGGGTCCCGCCGTGGCCGTGCACCTGCGTGGGTGTGGGTGTGCGCATGCGCAGGTGCACACGCGTGTGCACGGGGCGGGGCGGGGCGGGGGGGGG